CTCGAAAAGAGTAGGGGTGTAACTCTGGCATCCTGGACATATTTCCCATTGGTCTTAATTATGTCCTCCTAATAATCCCCTTCTCTGAACTGGCTTCATCACTCTGTTCTCCTTCCCACTGAGAGTTGGTGTGTGGAGAGCGTACTGGCGCACTATGGCTGCCGTCGCATCATCCAGGTGGGGCTGCACACTGGTGGTGGAGGGGAGTGTCCAGAAAAGTGCTTTATAAGTGTAAGGAATTATTAGTATTATTATAGCTCTGGCCATCTCAATGGAGGTCAGCGTTGACTTCATGGTCAGGCACATAGCCACCCCTAACTGCCTCTCAGGGGATGATTATAATTGGGGCACACAGGAGACTACAGCTCCAGCACGCAAGTGGGAGTAAGTGTAACTGAAGACATCCTTTGCTGGTTGAGAGGGCAGAAAAACTTCTAAATTTGGCAGTGGCAGCTCTGCTGGGTGTAGTTTATTGTGAGCGGAGAGGCGTTGAGCCTGCCAGCGCACTCCCACACCGCGGCCAGCGGTGCTCCAGTGTGGTGTCTTCTGTCGCCTCTGTCACACCCGTGTGTGAACACACTCGGAGGTTGTGGAATTTGGGTTGGGATTCAAAGCTATGGAGTTCCTGGCTGTGCTCCTCTGCCTTTAAGACAGTTGGGATATATTCCCTATGGCATACTGTACCTTATTTTATATTCAGAAATGGGCACAATGCCTGTACTTCTGTATTGTGAATAAAATACTGGTAGGTCTTGACTGCCATCCGAGCAAATTCTGAATTAAGAAGAAGTTAAAAACAAAAGGCACTAATAGGCACAGGAAACTGTATATTAAATAAATTAAGAAAACAGTTTCTGAATAATTGAATTCTGTTTTCCAGGGGCATTGACTCTTAAATGAATTACACAGTGCTTTTTAATTTAATTTTAATGACTGTGTCGTGTGATATGTACACAGTAAGACATACAAGTGTATATTAAAAATTTCTTAAAGTACATACAAGTAAAAGCAGCTTCAAAAGAAACTAAAATGAATTGGTAACTTTGTTACAAATGCTGGGTGCCATGTATGCAGATTTTCATTGCAAATTTTCGATCTCTGAAATGGGCATTGCTGAGGTCAGAGTCTGCCCACCCCACTCCAGCAGGAAGACTGAGCTCTTAAATCGCTGACTGATCTGTTTGTTTAGCGATGTCTGCACTGCGTCCTTGGTTAAAAAAACAACTTTACTTCAGGAGTGTTGTTTTTAATAGTTTCGGCACGCAATGTCTCCTTAACTACCTGTTTGCTCTCTTAATTCTTATTAAACAGCTCTTCATAAATGATTAACACACAGCCGGGAATAACCTGTAAGTCTCACTCCAAAAATAACTCTTTTCCCTTTTCCAAAACCATTTCAGATAACACACCTGAATCTGGGAAATTCCTTATCTCGGAAACTAACTGGTAAAAGTCTGGTATCAATTACCAATCCCAATAAATGTTTCAGAAGCTAAAAGCTATTTACGAAATGCCCCAAAAGGTTGGATGGAATAAATTGGTCTGTGATTAAGAAGTGTGGTAGAATAAAACATAGAAGAGAAGACTGTCCACGGAGATCAGGTTTGGAATCTGTTGGTTTACGTAGCAAAATTGTAGTAATTTCGTGCACAGTAAGTAACGGTCGCCCTCTAATGGCCTCAATAGTAATTAGTAGTTCCCCGTTCCTGCCTCGCAACGACCAGGTATTATTTGTGCTATTACTAGCAGTAGTGGTGTTTTATTAGATTTTACAGTTTCTTTTTTTTAATCTCCAAGGTGTTTCAAAGGTGAAAGAGGCTTATATAAAGTGAATTCCAAACAGGACTTGATACAACTAGGGTAGACAGATTTTGAATTTTGTAGCTCACTACGAAAATACATACCGTAAAACACATCTAACATGAAATTTATAGCATACACTCTATAGCTAAATTGTAATGTAGTGTAGATTAGGAAGTCTCCCATGACACCTGTTTTCTCGAGTTTGGTTAGAGGTCAGATAATGGTCAGTAGCATAACAAGGAATAAGAGATACTGCTTCGGATCGCGTCAAATATGTGAAAAATATTTTATTGTTCTTTTTCTAACTGTAGCCACGCACATACTTTGCTGTATTTTTAATTGCAATTTGTATTTAAACTTCTGGTCGTATATTTGACGTGCGGGCTTCACAAATCTAAAATTGAGAAATCCCGGTTAAAGACTGGGATTTCAGCACCTCGCTCTGTCACTAGCTTGATTATGAAATTCTGAATTTATTTGAACTTATATGCAGCTGTTAGACGTGGTTTAAAGCAGATTATGCTAAAAGGAGAATTGGTGAATTCGGTAACCTGCTCTGAGCAGATGTTATTTTTTAAATTCCCGCTGATACACTGTAGTACTACTATTTCTCCCAAGGTTCAGCGTCCAGAAGTAGGAGGGACTCAGATTCCTTATTTTCTTTCCGGTGTGTCCAGAGGCGGGGCTAACGTCTTCTCTAGTTTTGTGATTGGTTACTGAAGTTCAGTGACATTAGAACGCACCATCTGAAAGTCACCGGAGCTCAAACACAGGAAGCCGGAAGTTGGACGCTTAGATTTCACGGTGGAGTTGCTTTCCTGATGTCAGAGTTCCGTCTGCAGAGGTAGGTGGCATCTTGTAAGCAAAATTAGATTTTGCTGCTGTAACGTATTAATAACTTCCAAATGTAGTTTTATCTAAATGCGTGAATAACTGCGGAGAACTTCTATAGACAAAACATCCTACTTACACCACTGTTGAGTCCCTACTGTTAAGTGAAGTCTTGTTAAATAAGATTGTCTTGTTAATCG